TTTTGTTTTTTGCGTGTGTGTGTACTTTAGAGGAGATGAAGAGTCGTAGTTTGTGTGCCGAGAGTTATTGTTTTTTTCCCTAAGTAAAACGACTCTCTTTCCTTCAAGTCATGCAAAAAATGTTCTGCTATTATATTTGAAAAAAACAAAACAAAACAAAACGCAAAAAAAAAGAAACCGAGAGGTTAATTGATTAAGTAAAAAGCCCACGTTTTTGGTCTGTCTGCATACAGAGCAAGAAAACCTTGGTAGGACATATTTGGAGCCGTACTGCAAACTTCCTGCCAAGCACAGGCAATAAACAAGGAAGCAAAGTGTCTTTCATGGCTTTTCAGTTAATTTCAAAGTTTTCCCACCAAACATTTTTCTCGGTGGTGCAGAGCGTCAGTCCACCAAAGACGAGATTGTCCGCCCAGTTTAGCATTTTTCTTCTCCCAAAAGATAATTATCAGAAGACTTTGAAATCATATGCCAAACATCTGTACATATTAAACTTGGTTATACCTGTCCTGTTATGGCTGTTAACAAAAGCACGAAAAGGCCACCGAGGAAGGACTCGCTTCTGTTTAAACCCGTCATCCAATAGACTGCCGTATAGAACAGAGTCGGCTGACATAAGACCAGCGGTAATTCACTGAACAACTTGGCTAAATAGTATGCAGAGAGTCTGTAGTAGCCAGCAGCACGTTCTTTATTTACTACAGTCCTTTCACTTGGAACTACATAACCAACAGAAAGACAATTAGATCTAGAGTTGAACACTTCTTGAGTGTTATTTGTAAAAATAAGACAATAACGTTACATGGACTAATGTATTACATGTTCTACTTAGATGTCACTCAGGGTACATGTAATTCAACAAGGTTATTTGCAAGAGTCAAGATTTTGTATTCAGCTGTAGTCGCTTCATACTATAAATGAGCAGAGAAAACAAGAAACAACTTACAAGCCGTAAGTTTAAATCCCCCGTTTTTCCTATAGCAAATTTTCATTGCACGGCTGCTTGGGCAAATCTCGATCTCCTGATATAAACAATCGAGCCCGCTGTTTTGACTCTCTTACACTCTGTATGCCAATAATTTTCATTTGTGTACCATTGGCTGTATTCATAGTTGTATTGTTCAAACTGTACTAGAAATTACAGATCTTGAAAAAACAGAATAAAGAAATCTAACTGCCTTAAATCCTTCCTTGTAAGATCTTGTTTACATTCACGACCCTCTCTTAAGCTAACAATACTGAGATACTGAGGAACTCTTTTGGTACACGTAGCAATTCTTGGGTGTGCAGTCCTATGTCTTATGTCTAATGTCAAAGTTTGGTGTACCAAAGAACAAAAAAACACTTGGAAAAAAAACAACTTGGGAAAAAACATTTTAATGTTTATTAAATAAACATGCAATCTCAACTCACATGATAACAGAGCTTGGAAGAGTGGATTAAACATCCAATAAACCACAACGAAAAACAGCTGTAAAGTAAAAAACAAACATGGCAATTTTCGTTCATTGCAAAAAAAGTAATAGGGCGCAATGCAGCCAAACAATTGATGACAAAAACATTGAATCAAGTCAGTTAGGAAGTCGCCAAAGGTAGAGGCCTCGTGCTCTGCACAAATTTTCTTTACTTCACATCAGGTGTGTGACATGACTTATCGTCTACTCTCCACCAAAGAAACAACACAACCCACTTCCTCTTCCCGTGAACCTGGCCGAAATAAGAAGCCGTATCTTTTTTAAAACTAAAATTAATAATTAGTTCCAAATGAGAAAAAGTATATGTTAATGTATCATACGTATGAAAAAATTCGTTTTCTTTCTTAACTTTAGTGGTACAGTGAATGAACTAGGACTATGGGTAAAACTCTCCGACAACGCGATTTGAGAAAGATGGACTAAATTAGGCCTAAAGAATGGTTAAGGTCTAATATCTCTGTTCCCCCTCCCACACCACCCAGGCCATACTCAACCAATTTATCCAAAATGGTTAATTTAGAGGGATTAGGGTTATTCATCGTGAACAGTGGTCTTTATTCGTAACTAACAGTGACAAGCGTAACATAACCTACCAGTGAATATCTGTCTTCAATGCTCTTCTCTTTGTAAGGAAGCTGGAACCAGATCAAGCCCGAAACGAGGGCAAGAAGCAAGTTCTGGAACAAATGATACACAAGTACATTGTAAGAAGACCAATTTTTTTCCACAGAGCGGTAATTACTAACTTAGGAAACTTCATAATCTCAATCTTTTCAATCGATTAACAATATAAAGGTAACTGGAAATGAACGTTAAGGTGACAAAGGAATGGTCAGACAAGGTTTTTATGACTAAATAAAACGAAATAAAAAACCAGCGAGAGTTAGCGAGTGTCCTGTGTTAGGTCGCTGTGGTGACACAATCATAATGAGTAAGGCAAATGGAAAGTAAACACCATTCACATACCCTTACTACCTATCAAAGCATGCTTACAACAGCCACATCTGACAAGTGTACCATACAGTACATCTATTTTCTACATCTCTTGAGTTTGAGTAAATGTTTTGGTTCATCACTGGAAATGTTACACATGGACACCAACATCACCGAAATGTTACAATGGCTGTTACACATGGACACAAACATCGTACTGTTATTTCAGGTCCGACCTTTATTCAAACTATACCTAAAATAGTACTTACCTGTGATAACTCTAACTTAGACAAAATATCTGGTTTGGACTGCTTAAACGTTCTAAGTAGGAGAACTGTGAACTGTGTCCAGAAACTTGTGGGCCATGATGTGGAAATATCTGAGTACAGGGCAGAATGATCTTCATCGTCATCATGAACATCTATTTTAGAATAATCACGTGATGTACTACGCTTGTAAGATACAACAGCCACATTGACATCTGCTACTGGTACCAGGATTTCTGAGGGGACTTGTGGAAGATGATCTGAAGATTTGGTGAATGAGTCTCTCACGTTCCTCCAAAGGGTCTTAGATGCAGATGGTTTGGGATTTGAAGCCAAGAGGTTTGAACTCTCACTCATCTCTGAAGGCAGTCCATCATTTCCAAATGGTATAAGCCCATTGCCTGTCTTACTTTCTTTTTCTTTGTCCAGCATCTCCTCAGACGAGAATTCACCTCCATTCTCCTGCCTTAGTGTATCTTTCTGTTCATTCGAACTGTCAGCAACTGACAGCTCACCAGTGGACTCACCACTTCTGCCAGATGCAGGACTTGTTTTATTTTCTTTTTCAGGGACTTCAGAGTTCTCATCTACCTCATGTACATCTGAAGTACAATGAACAGACACATCATCCTTGTTCTGTAACTCTTCAGTAGCTTTTTGCTGCCCATTTTTAGGGCTCGTTGCACTCGCCATATCCTGTGATTTGTCCTTGTCATCCTTCTCTGGAGTAGGACTTGGGGTATCAGTTCTTCCTGGTCTATGGTTGTAGGAAATTGCTGAATATTTCTGACGTCTTTTCTGTCTAAAATAAGAGATAAAATGTGTTTTTCTCTCAAGATGTAAGCACCAGGTGACTCTTTCCATCACCACATATGTAAATATTTTAACTACACAATGATGAAAACAATGGGAAAAAAATGTTACAGCTGTTGTCTACTTTTCTGCAATTACATAATTTCACCAACCTTTCAGCCCAGCCTTGGACAATCCTTTCTTGAACTTCCTCTCCTTCAG